AACAATTAGCTGGGCGTGGTGGCTTGCACCTGTTATCCCAGCTACTCGGGAGGCTAAGGTAGCAGAAATACTTGAACCAGGGAGGCAGAGGTTGCAGTGAGCCAAGATCATGCCACTGCACTCCAGCCTGGGTAACAGAGTGAGACTCCGGGCTGAGGAGGGAGAATCTCTTGAGGCAGGAAAATTGTGCCACTACACTGCAGTCTGGGTGATAGAGCATCACTTGGTCTCAAAAACAAACAATAAAGGAAATAGCTTAAACTGGGAGGCTGAAGACACAGACATTTATTTCTCATGAATTTGGAAAGTTGGAAATCCAAGAGCAAGGTGCCAGCCAAATTGGTTACTTGTGAGAGCCTTCTTCATGGTTTAGTTCAGCCATCTTCCTGCCGTATTCTCACATGCTGGAAAGAGAAACAGGCAGTGAGCTCTTTAATATCTCTTTTTATAAAAGCACGAGTCCTATTCACTAGTAGTCAACACCCATGACCAAATTCTCTCAAAGGCCCCATCTGCAGGAACATCCTATTGGAGAATAAGAACTCTGAACATGGCTTTTGGTCAATAAGAACATTCAGACCTGGGAACCTGAATCATGTTTATGTTTTTATTGTGCGATTTGTTTTCTAAAATGTTTCCTATAATCTCAGTTTATAAATTTACCCAGTACACATTCTATGTTTTGTATGTTATGCATAGTAAACTAGATAACTAAGGGCAATGCATATATATAGAATTGCTCTGAGGCTGGGCACGGTGGCTAATGCCTGTAATCCCAGCACTTTGGGAGTTCAAGGCGGGTGGATCACCTGAGGTCAGGAGTTGGAGACCAGACTGGCCAACATGGTGAAACCCTGTCTCTACTAAAAATACAAAAAATTAGTCGGACATTGTGGTGCACACCTGTAATTCCAGCTGCTCAGGCATCTGAGAAAGGAAAATCGCTTGAACCCGAAGGTTGTAGTGAGCTGAGATCATGCCATTGCACTCCAGCCTCCAGCCTGGGCAACAGGAGCAAAACTCTGTCTTAAAAAATAAAATAAAATTAAATTAAATTAAAATATAAATAACAAAAAGAATTTCTACATTGCCTAGCTGTTACATAACTGCAGTTGTCACATCATAATTACAATCTTTGACACCGTTAGTCATAACTTTTTTTTAATTTTTTTTGAGATGGAGTCTCAGCCTGTTGTCCAGGCTGGATTGCAATGGTGTGATCTCGGTTCACTGCAACCTTATAATGCTGTGTATTTTCTTGACCTCATACATCAGAAGGTAGTGATCTTAACATGTATTTCAGTTCTTATATTGTGTGCTGGTGGTAAGTAGAAGTTGTGG